GGCAGCTAGGGGATCACAGGTTAGGATCCTGGGTGTGGACCTATGCACTGCTCATCAAGCCACGGTGTAGTGGCATCTCACATACAAAAAAGAGGAAGATTGGCACAGATGTTAGCTCAGTGACAATCTTCCTCACCAAAAAATAAATCAATATTGTAGAAAGTTCTCAGTTTTAACTGCTAATATTGGTGATAAATTCCAGTGTCTTTAGCCCACATAAAAGCTCCTTGGGGTCCTCAATGAATTTGTAAAAATGCAAAAAAACTCCAGAAACCAAAAATTTTGGGAACTGCCTTAGAGTTCTTTTTTAACCTGTTCAGTTACCTAGTTAACAACTTAATACCTATTTAACAAATATTTATATTAAATTCTCTCTGCTAAAATAACTTGCGGTTTCTGTCCCTTAGCTGGACCCTGACAGATTTACAAATGTATTTTAAACATGTGACATAACCACACAGAAGTGACGGGAAAAAGGGCTAATCCATATAATTTCTGAACACAACATTTTGATTATATACATTCAATCTAGTGAAAAAGAATCTTGAACTATTTTTAGTAAGTTTATTTTATAAGAGCATGTTCTGTAATAGTATAGTAGCAATTCTGAAACTATCGGGACATTTCAATCACATGTGAAACACTCTGTTTGGGAGTATATAACCACTCTGTGCACCCCACTTCTTCGGTGCCCTTTCTTCCTTCGGGAAGAAAGAACCCGGGCCATGGTTCCTCATAAAGCTTTGTTTAATTTTCTCTTGCTATTCTGTCTCATGTGAATTTAATTTAATTCGTTCTCCGGCCAGACGAACCCACTTTGGACAGAGGAAATGTCTTCCTTCCCTATACCCTCCTGACCTCTCTAATCAAACAAAAAGAGTGTGTGTGGTGGGGGATACCAGGGGTGTGTAATGTGCTGAATTGGGAGAGAGACAGCAGGGCTGGAAAGATCCCCTTCAGCAGCCAGGCGTGGACTTTGAAAGGAGCAGGGCAGGGGCAGAAGTGTGAGAAAGGAGGGCAAGAAGACTGGTGACACAGGCAGGAAATGGTGATGAGAAAGCTGCCGCAGGCAGGAGCCACACGGGTTGCTTCTGTCCTCACCAGCCCCAGGGGCTCATGGGGAGGACCGCCGGGGTCTCATTGACCCTGTGCTCAGGAGGGCTTCAGTGCGATTGCAGACGTAGCACATACTAATTTGTCACGGCATAAAAGAAGGGAACGAGGCCTGACATTTTCCCACCCACTGAAAGTGAAAGAAGAAAGGGTTCTTTACTCTCAGGGCTGCATCCTGATGAGGAGGTCAGTGTTTGCAACTGATCCGTGTGGGCGCAGGCTAATTGTTTCTTGGATAACCTGTTATCTATTAGCCATCAGGCTGCTTGCCAGGATATGCTAATGTCTCCAGACTTCCTGGTCTGGATTCTGAGGAGTGGATTTTTTTGTTTTTGTTTTTGTTTTTCTTAAAGGAAACATAGGGACTGGGGGGGCGGGCAACTGTGAATCCCACCGGCAGAGAGGCTGTCCTCTACTCTGCCCTTAGCCCGTGCCGAACGGGAGAGAGTGCCCAGGAAACCAGGGCACAATCCACGCTGATGCCCATGTGGAACCCGGCAGTGTTCCTCTTTCTCTTGGACCCTGGACACACACTCCTTTGGAAGACTTGGCTTTATCAGAACATTCTGGAAAAGCCTCTGAGAGAGCTGTTTTTCTGGGTTATCATTTGCTAAGAGAACAAGGAAACTCTTCAAACAATCTTTTGTTTGGGGACAGAAGAGAAGGGAGGGTGTCAGAATTCAATAGCTCTGTTCTTCTGTGGAGTAGGGGCAGAACTTGGCCATCGCCCAGGCAAGCTTGGTATCGTTAGCCATCAGTTACGCCCATGGTCTCTATGTTTCTACTAAGGCACAGTGAAATGTCATCAGATGGGAGAGGTACACAAATACAGGACATCAATCTTTTTCTTATTTTAAAGGTGGCACATGTTCATTATTTAAAAATTTGGAAACTTTAGAAAAGCAAAAAGAAAAGACAAAATTTCATTCCTCAGAGATGATCACTGTTAACATTTCTGTGTATCTTCTTCTACTTTTTTTCCTATGCTAATTTATATCTGTCTATGAAAAAGGACTTTTGATTGAAAAATACAATGATGCCCTCTGATCTTCTGGAGGTGTTTGGAGGATAAGAAGTCCTTTAGCACCAGGGTTTGGGATTAGCTCTCTGTAATCCTCAGAGGGTCAGTTTTATGAGGCCAAGATAGAGCGGGGCTCATAGCCCAGCAGGATTTAGTGGCTAAAGTCCAGGACCTTTGGATTTAAGCATTTATTTTCATTTATATGCATATGGAGGAGGGTCAGGTGGTGCTGCCCAGGCATAGAGAGAGAGCACATGTCAATTCACACGATCAAAAAGCAAGCAGGCAGATACTGGACCAGCCCTCCCATGGTAAACACCTAGAAAACTAGACAAAGCATATGAAAGAACTGTTTTCACACATTTCAGACATTTGCTGAGAGAAGGGAAACAAATGAGGTGATCCCTAGTTTGCTTGCCCCAGTTTTCTGCCTAGAAGCACATTTTAGACCACAGCCCAGGGACGGGAACTCAAGCAGAACACAGCAGTCTTGCTGAGTTGAGGAAACAGAGACCAGGGGAGGCTGAGACAATTGGAATTTGCCAAGCAGAGTACCAGAGAGGAGGGAACTGTAATGGAGCAAGGGCTTGTTCTGCTCACTGCAACCTGATGCCAATCATTGCAAGGTGAGTTGGTGGTCAAGAAGGGGATTTATTCCATTAGCTAGCAAAATCGGAAGATAGTGGACTCATGTCCCACAATAGTCACAAGATTGCCCTGTCAGCACGGCGCTTGATGGACACAGCAGGTAGTGGGTCTGCTGTCTCGGAGGGCGCAGCAGGAGACAAGTCTATTGTCTCAAGCTGGGTGGTCACAGGTGAGTGCAGCAATCAGTTCCTAGCCTAAGGAAAGATGCTTAAGCCTTAAAGAAATGCCAACGTTGGGAGGGGGAGGGAAGTCAGTTACAGGAGGTTACCAGAAACAGTAATAAGACTATTATGCAAGATTTAAGTCCTTGCCTTTGGCATTGCTTAAAGAGTTTCTAGAGACAAGGTCATCACCCCTTCTTCCTGTTAGAGAGGGGGATATCTTTACAGAGGGAGAGTTCCTTGTTCTATTGCTCCCATTACATGTATGTCAGACCTGAGCTAACATCTGTTGCCAATCTTCCTTGTTTTGCTTGAGGAAAATTGTCATGGAGCTCCTAACAAAGGGTAAGTAAATTCTACTTTTCTGTTGCTTTCCTGTCTGCCAAGGAACCAGCCTCAAATAATCATCATGCCAAAGAGACATATCTTGGGGCGGCCAATTTCAGGTCCCCACAAGGGGAACAAGATTCAGAAATAAAAGCTTTTGTTTCGGTTTAAGGGATCGATGTGCACTCACTGCTGTAGATTGTATCATTACATCAATGTTACATCACGGTGGCCTCAGTAATGGCCTCCCAAACTATTTTCTCTTCAAACCCTCTTTAACCTTTTCCCCAGTAAGACGTATAGAATTTGAATGTAAACAGGAATGCAATGACAGACTGAGGCTGTCTCACTTTCTTTTGAGTAGATAGAACCAGCTAATAATTCTCTTAATATCATGTCAAATCAGTCAAATCAACCTTTTCTCTTTTTTTTGGAAGAAGATTAGCCCTGAGCTAACATCTGCTGCCAATCCTCCTCTTTTTGCTGAGGAAGATTGGCCCTGAGCTAACATCTGTGCCCATCTTCCTCTGCTTTACATGTGGGACGCCTGCCAGAGCATGGCTTGATAAACGATGCTAGGTTCACACCCGGGATCCGAACAGGTGAACCCCAGGCTGCCGAAGCAGAACGTGCAAACTTAACCGCTGTGCCACCGGGCGGCCCCTCAACCTCCTCTTTTCCTGTCTTGGGAAGGGGCTCGTGTTTTTTTCTCATGAAATCAACAGTCATAACGGTAGCCGCCGTGTTTTGAGCACTAACCTGAGCTGCACTGTGCTAAGCCCTTTATGTACACTGCCTTATCTAACCCTTTCCACAGTTCTGTTTTATTATCTCCATTTTACAGAGGAGAAAACAGAGGCCTGGAGAGATTAAATAACCTGCCCAAGATTATTTTTTTAAAAAGAAACGGCAAAGATTCTGAGATTCAAATCGCCGTCTGGTAGATTTCAAAGTTTCATCTCATCCTCCGTTGCCTACATCACACCAGCTCCTTGAAGGAAGCAGCAGGTGAGAGTCCTGGGTCCTGAACGGTGGGCCAAAAGGGCTGGTGGTCTGCACAGGAGGGAGTCGGGGGCCTGCGACCGCTGCAGCAGCATCCAAAATCGTCCATCATGCTAGGAATCTGCCCAGCGGTCCGCAAGCATGGGCTCATCAAACCTCACCGCAACCTACGCATCAGGCCCGGCCACCCCACGTTACACCTAAGATTTAAACTGAGAGGAGAAGTGATTTGTTCAAAGTCACTCAGCTGGTAAGTGGAAGTAAAATGTGGTTTTGAATTCAGGCTTCCAGTTCTCGAATCTACCCTAGGCTTCCTATGCGCTCCGTCTCTCAGCAGCTCTTGAGTTCGGCTGCTCACCCAACGTGAGGAATGCAGTGAGGCTCCCTGGTTCTTTGCTTATTCTGATGTCAATAGTTTGAAAAGTGCAGTGAGTAGGTAAGAGTGTGGGTTCTAAATTGCCAGAGTCAGAATCCCAGCTCTGTCACTTACAAGATACGTGACCTTGGGCAAGTTGCTGTGCCTCAGTTTCCTCATCTCTCAAATAAGGAATAGTAACAGCACCCACTTCTGAGATCGCCATGGATGAGGTGTGTGAGAAGCGCTTAGGATGACACGGGGCGGGAAGGATGCGATCAAGAAATGCAGGTTAGTATTATTACCTAACAATTCCTACTAGTACACAATAGCTAGATTTATAAAGACGCTGTTACTATTTTGGTTAGCATAATTTACATTTTCCTGCCAAAGATAAGCCCTCCAGACTTCTCTGCCTTAGCTTAAATCCTCCCCAAAAGCAGAGGCAAAGATCCTCCGAGGCAAAGATCCAAGTCAAGAAAAAGCGTTAGTGAACAGGTTACCACTGGTAGGGGGCCTCAGTCCCACGGGGACCCTCTGGGAAATTGTTTGGAACACACCCCAGAATGGGCCCTGAGGACCTCGTACCTGCCCCCATCTGTAGGGGCTGCTCCGGGGCCTTCACTCCCTGCCCAACGGGGAGCAAGTGCGCCCCAGGGACCAGGGCACGGCTGCAGGCAGCAGGAAGCAGGAAGCAGGAAGCTGTTGGTGCAGCGGTGACACATTGCAGGGGACCCTGGGGTGGGCTAAGCACCTGTGGGTGGGGCCCTGCCTGCCAGCTGCGCAGTAATCTCCCAGTGTTGTTAATGTATATTCGAGATGTAGTTTTTTCTCAGAAACACTTGCCAAACAACCCCAGTGTTTGCTCTGGATCTAGTTTTAAACGGCAAAGTTTCTTCTTTGAACTGTAAGTGCCTGCTTAGAACTGTCTTTAGAAATTGTAGATAATCAAGACCCCTTGAAGGATCCATAATCACGACGGTCCCCTGCATGTCTGTGCATTATGCCTTCTAGTTTACAAAAATACACAATACTTTTGCATATATGATCTCATTGACTCCTCATGGTCAACCAGTGAGCTGAATGATAGTCCTCAAAGAAATCCCAGAGTCTTGTTTTCTGTGTGTGTGAAGAAGATTGGCCCTGAGCTAACGTCTGTTGCCCATCTTCCTCTTTTCGCTTGAGGGAGATTGTCGTTGAGCTAAAGTCTGTGGCAATCTTCCTGTATTTTATGTGGGATGCTGCCACAGTGCGCCCTGATGAACAGTGTGTAGGTCCATACCCAGGATCCAAACCTGCAAACGCTGGGCTGCTGAAGTGGAGTGCGCAAACTTAAGCACTATGCCACTGGGCCGGCCCCAACACTCCCAGAGTTTGTGATCCTTCTACACAGGATTAGAAACAGCTGAGTGATTTCACTTGCAAGATGATTCCGAGGCCCTGGGGTAAGGTCTGCAGCATCTCTCCCCGCCATGAATAGTCCCTAATAGACCCAAACAGACCCATTCTGGCCATTTTACTCAGGTTTGGTAGCTTTAAGAATATTGATACTTTTAGAATAATAGGGCAACCTGGCTACTTTATTCAGTTTTCTCAATGTACACATGTAACGAGATGTTAGAATAGGCGTTTCTGCTAAGGCCTGAAGACAATGGAGATCACGTTCCAAAAAGAGGTCCCAGACCCCCGTGCAGGCTTTGGAGGAAAGGGAGCAGAGAAACCAGCTTTGTGATGGCTGCACCCCTCATTCATGGTGATAAAACGGCCAGGAACAAAGTTTTTGGTGCGCGGTGAGTCCCTCTCCCACCCGTGGAGAGCGAAGGGAGTACAGGGCCCTTGTCGCATGCTTAGGAAAAGGGGGTTCAACTTGCCCACTGAAAGAGCTTCATTTGTGTCCCTAGTAGCTCAGGGGACACACTGCACAGGTGTCCAGTTCCCGCCAAACTTAAAGGACAAGTGATGGGCTAGCTATGGCTTTGACTGTGGAGGAAAGGGAAGGTCTCGGGGAGGTAGCCATGACAGCTTGTGCGCCCCAAATTTGTCACAAGAGGATTCGTGAGTGCGTGCCCAGATATGGGTCTCACCCATGATAGGGTTGGCAGTGAAGGGGATCAGAATATGCCACCCCAAAATACACCACTTTGATGTTAGGACTATTTTGAGCTGAAGGCAATTAAGAAACAGCAGACACAAAAGGAGCTCTCTGCCCCCCTCTTTCTGCCTGAAAGCAGGGGTACATTTCCCTGTGTGAAGGTATGCCCCCTCCCCTCTCCTGCTTAATCACTGAGGCACTGACTTGAATCTGCATAACAAGCCTTACTAAAATAACCCTCATCTTCCATTAGGTTCCCCTGTATATTTACCTTCCTCCAATTCACCACCCCAGAAGCTCAAACCCCTTTAACTCTTCTCTACACTGTGTTGTCCTTTGTTAAAATGGTACATAAACCCCCAGGCATTATTGCTTTGGGGGATTTTCACTTCTTTTCTGTGAGGTCCCGCGTATGCATATGAAATAAACCTACTCTCCTGTTAATCTTTTCTTTGTCAGTTTAATTTGCTGGCCTCGGTCACTGAATATAAGAGGGCACAGGAGAAGTTTCCCCCTACCCGCTATGGCAGTGAGGGATTGTCTTGGATCTGTCCAAGAGGGCTGCATGGAGGAATAAACAGGTCTTCTCAGGGAGAAGCTTGAGGTATCAGCACATTCATAGAGGCCGAGGAAGGAATGAGTGAGTAAGTGAGTGGCTGGAATAGAGAGCATTTGTCCTGTGAAGCAAACTTCAGGGAAGAGATCCTCAGTGATTGTGAGTTAAGATCATCAAAAAGAGCCTGTGAGAGTCAGCTTTCAACGTCTGCCAAGTCCAGAGAGAGCAGACGCCACATCACCATGCCCAGGCCAATCAGGCAAGAGCTTTCCTGCTCCCCTTGCCTCTTCTCATTTCCAGAACTCCAACTCTGAAAGTGTCAGGACTCATGGCTAGTAAGCTGAGGAAGGAGAAGGAGAAAGTTAGCAGCTGACCACACACCCCTTCCCCAGCCCCCTTCTCTCTCCCTCTCAAGGACCCTGAGCCGGGAGATGCTAGGAAGCTTAAGTTTTAAAGCAAGAAGTTATGTGACTGAATATTTCCATTATTAAATTTATACTGTGTGTTTTGAAGGGAGCAGAGGATTGTTGTTATTACCAAATGTGACCACAAAGTCATAGGATTTGCTCTAAATTCTATCTGGGGCAGAGGAAGAACTTGCTCCCTTGAACAGATGACAAAGGATGGTGGGAAACCAAAACAAATTGTCTTTGATTACACTCATGAGTCATGTTTATTCAGCATGATGATCATTCATATTTCCAATACTGGGAGATTTCCTGGTGCCCAGGGAAAAGAGTGAGCTGTGGTTTATGAGTTAGACTCCAGCTCAGAATCCCAGGAACTTCGCTGGAGAGGTGACACAACTGTATAAACAGGCAGTGCCCACAGCCACCGTGGGCCCATATTCAAGAAGTCTCCATTGCTCCCCATCCAACCTCGAAGCCCATCCTGACCAGGGATTGAAAGTGGTGAGAGCCACCACTGCTCTCGTCGCTGCAAGACAGTGGAGGCAGACGGCTGCCACTGGGAATCCCAAGCTTGAGGTACAAATCCAGTGTCTGTACCCCCAGAGATTGCTCAGTGATGAATATATTAAGAGCTTGAACCCTTTGGATGAATGGATTGGATAATCATCATGAATATTACAGTACACAAAGTATTTGGGGCCCTTCTGAACGTACTGTCTTTCAGCTCCAAACCTACTCTTCTGTTCTCAGCCTCGTGCTGGAGCTGAGCTCTGCGAACCGTAGTCCAGCTTTGCCAGCTGGCTCCATGTCAGCTCTTCCAGTGGGAAGCACTAGAGGGAGGCAGCATGGCTGGAGGAGAAAGAAAGGACTCCTCGTAGGTTTCCTGTCCCTATCGATGCCACCCTTATCTCACCCCATCACCCTGGCAGTGGCAGTTCCTTCTTGTAGCAGCACCTGCGTGCAGTTTGCCGTTTCTCTAACACTTAGAGAACCAGCCCCATCACACTCCCCCTCCCAGGAGCCCCCAGGTCCCCACAGGGCCCCTCCCCAGCTCAGAGACACCAGCTCAGCTGAGCAGCACACCTGCTCAGAGTCTGAGCCTCAGGTTTCTGGGTTTTAATAATTCCCACTTCTTTCCTCACCTTGCCCAGGGGCGATGGCCACTCCTTCAGGTGCTACCTCTGTGATACTGTCATGCACCCTTTTTGCCTTTTTAGTTTCCCATTTCACATAGTTAATGATTACTATATTACCTTCTCTGTTCAAATTACTGATGTTTCTGTCTTCGGGCCGGTCCCTGCCTGATACTCCTCTTAATGAAAAATGGAGAATGGGAGGCCCTCAGGGGACTCGCTGGGGTAAAGAATCAGTGAGGCCTCTGGGGAAAAGGCTAGGAAAATTTTGACTCATTTCTGAACCTTTTTTGAATCATGGAGACCTCTGAGAGACAGATGCAAACAACGGGCTTTCTCTCTAGAAACTGTAAGTATCAGCACATGCCCAGCCTCCAACCCTCACTCACAATTTTACACCCAGTGGTTGGGCTGGTGGACCCCCAGGCCAGGTCAGTCGCTTCTGTGGTAGAATGTTGGCTGGGCTGAGTCTCCATCTTGGAGAAAATCTGGTTGGCTCGCAGAGGCTGTTGCCTGGGCCGGAGAAAAGTCGAACAAAAGGACTGTCAGTGCTGGGTTGCCAAGGAGCTGTCCTAGATTTTCAAACTCCCTGAATTTGAGATAAATATCCTGACTATGGACCTGCCTGGATCTGTAGTTGCTCTTGCATCTAAAGCCTTAAAAAATGTATCTTTTTCAGCAACAACTATTTTACTGGTGGGGGCCCAGCCCAACAAGAACAAGGCCTTGAGGGGCAGAGCCGGTGTTTCGGGACTCTCCTCCCTAGAGGCCCCGGGCTGACCCAGCCAGCTGACCTGGCCAGGTCCCAGTCGCTTTCTGCCGCGTAGAGTGTAGCCCTCCTGGAGAGAAAGGCAAGTCGCCATCTCCTGGCTGGCACTAGTATTGCAGGCTGATTTTTCAGAAAGCGATTCCTGGTGCCCAGTTTCCAAGGATGAGAACTTCCCTTTGGCTGTGAGTTAGTAATCTGGATGTGTTTTGTGGAGGATTATGCCCTAGGCCATTAGAGGGGAGAATACAGAGTTTGGGGAAAGTTACTACCTCTGGCTCTCAGTTTTTCCATCTTTAAGGCAAGGCAGTTATCTAGATGCCGAGAGTCTGGCTCTGGTTTTCCCTTCCCTACCACACAGCCCTGTTGAGCTGTCCACAATAGAAGGCAGCACCAGAGAAGGGAAAAGAATTCTTCCCCACCTCACTTGCACAGTGCGATGGCCGCCACAGACCTCTACAGAGCTGTCCTACGTCTATTTGCTTTCTTAGTGGAATGTTATCTCTTAAGTTTTTTAGATATTGTCAAGATATAGACTGAGTTTTTTCTCTGTTAAATTAAAAAAGGCTTTATTGTTTTATTCATTCATTCTGCAGAATGATCCGTTATTCAACACACTTTTATTGAGTGCCTCATACGGAGCAGATACTTTTGAGGCACTAAGGAAACAGCAATAAACAAAAGAAACACAAATCCTTCCGGTGTGGGGCTTCTCATCTATTCAGGGACACGGACAACAAAGTATGCAGTGTGTCAACTGAAAGAGGATACGGAGCAAGAGTGGTTTTTGTTTATTTGTTTTGCTTTTTAAGACAGGAGAAATTACAGCACATCTGTCTGCTGATGGGAATGACCCAGGAAAGAGGGATACTGATGCCCTAGGAGAGAGGAGGGAGAGCTGGCAACACAATGCCCTTGAGGAGTTGAGAGGGGACAGGATCTAGCGCACAAGTGGAGGGGATGTGTCAATATTGATTGAGCCCCTGCCAGATGACAGACTGTGGGCGAGATGCTGGGGACAAAGCAATGGAGAAAAGAGACGACATCCCTGCCTTCCTGGAGATTTCATTCTAATTAGGGCAGTGAATAACACACAAGCAAACTAATGAAGGGTCCATGGTACCCATGCACTGGGATAAGTGCTCAGACAGATGCACGATGGTCACAGAAGTACTCTCTGAGCAGTGACATTTAAGCTGAGTCCTAGAGTATGACAAAGAGATGTCCATGGGAAGAGCCTGAGGAAGAGGATTCAAGCAGAAAGAGTAGCAAGTGCAAGACCCTGAGGGGGAAGAGCTTGGCCATTTGTGCACCTGTAGGAGGTGAGGCCACCTGAGGGGCATTATCAAGGAGAGTGGAGCATGAGATGAGGTTACAGAGGTTGGTCGTTGATGGCTTTTTTTTAACAGGCAATGAATTTTATGAACAAATTTGTAGATAACTCAAGGCTAAGAAGGACAGCTAACACTGTTAAATGACAAAACAGAGTTAAAAACATTTCAATAGAAGGCATGTAGCAAATCTCCATGTCAAATCTTATGTTTAGGTTCAAAAAATCAAGTACAAGAAAGTAGTCACAGGAAGATCAAGTACATCACCAGTGCTCATGAAAAGGGTTTTGGGTTTTGCGGAGAGCAGATCCTAAGACAGAGATCAAAGTGCAAACTCTTTCTGGGGAATGTGATCAAAGGAGCAGAAGCGAGGGAGGGGGGAGTGAAGAGGGTAGAGAAAGAACCGATACAGACCTGTGTTACTGAGTTGGCCATGCTACAGGATACTGCTGTAGGATCCCAGGAGACCTTGGAGCAGCTCTCTGAATGGTGTCTCAGCACCAACCAAGGGGGAAAAGAGGGGCAGGGGTTCTCCAGTGCCCCCTGGACCACTAGGCAGAGGTTCTCCCCATGGACATCTACGTTGCCAAGCACGTTACCATAGTGGCTCCACCCACAGTGTCTCTCAGAGGCCTGAAGGCAGAAAGCAAGAGGTACAGAGAGTGCACTTGAGGTGGATCGTGGTCAACTGCACCTGTGGGAACTGGCTGGCACCCCACAGAATGGGCACAGCTGGAACAAGGGGCAGGTGAGACCCACACCTCTGAAGGGCTTCACAAGAGTTTTCTCATACACGTACCCGGGAGGATTTCCCTCCCTCTAGCATTTTATCTCAGTCTTTCTGGGCTTTTCGTGGAGATACATGTATGTAATTGGATCTCATTGGCAATGCTTTCATGAAATTTGGGCCCTACAGGTGGAAAGACCCCCCTAAAATGCCGTTTCAGAAGCCATAATAATCCCTTCTTTAAAATCTCTCTAACTCAACAAAGGAATCTTTGTTAAATATTATCAAAGACCTCTGAATCTTCATAAAATGGTGCACTTATACAAACTATTTACTCCTAAACTCAGGGCTATCATGTGGGAGGGAGCAGGTTGTATTAGGGATTAGGGAAACCGTCCCATTTATCCCAGAGTAACCGAAAGCCTCAAATTTAAGATTTGACTCATCTCCAAATGAGGTCATACATACAGTCCCACACTACAACAACCCTGGAAGAAGCTGACGGACTTCCCACAGCTAAGCTTGCGTCCCCATTACCAGATCAGACACCCTGTAGTACCTTATGAATTAATATTTTTCAGAAGTCCTATAATTATCTTGTGAATAACTCAGTGCCTTTGGTGTTAAATTATACCAATTCATTAAATGCAAAGTTTCAAAAAATGTCACCAGTTGTGGTTCTGTTGTGACACTTCTCCTTTTTTAATATACCAAGAGCCTTAAGAAATGAAAGTGGCCTGTGTGTTTCTTGCCGTCTGAGAGGTCCAGGCTCATCCCTCCCAGCTCGCTGATGGGAGGGCTCATGGAGGCTCCATTTCCCCCATTCCCAGGGCTTATTAGTCCTGCGACTTTCCCCAGCACAGGGAAAAGCAAAGGAAATTGGCTAGAGGGTGAGCGAGGAACCCTTGCTCCTTTTCCTAGCTCTGTTTCCTAGGTGTTTGTAAATATCACCCAAGGCCCTCTGGCGTTGCACTGGAGATTGGTTTATTTTTCATCTCACAAAGGGTTAGGAGTCTCTTTATGTAATTGTTGCTGTGGGAAGCTAGTGCTTTTATTTATTTTTTATTTATTTATTTATTTTTTTGAAGAGGATTAGCCCTGAGCTAACATCCGCTGCCAATCCTCCTCTTTTTGCTGAGGAAGACTGGCCCTGAGCTAACATCCATGCCCATCTTCCTCTACTTTATATGTGGGACCCCTAGCACAGCGTGGCTTGATAAGCAGTGCCATGTCCACACCCAGGATCCCAACAGTGAGCCCCGGTTGTACCAGTGGGCCAGCCCCAAAGCCAGTGCTTTTAGATATGCCTCTGTCAGATCCCCAAAGGATTGTCTTCTCTCAGAGTTTCTTCAGCCTATTTATTCTCTAGGCTGCTTCAAAATTCAATACTTGAAGCTGCATTCTCTTCTCATTACATCCCTGCCAGCTCTCCAATGGTGCCTTTGGAGGAGGCCCTGTAAAAATCACGGGTCATTTATCACTGCCCTGCAGGCACTAAACCAGCTGGCTGCTGGCTGTGGGATACCATGGTTCACCTCCTCAGTAGGCTCCTGGGCCTTCTCTCCCTGCCTTTCAGGTTCTAGATAAGGGCCCTGCGTATAATTCAAAGAGGCTAGCATGGGCCTGCAGAAATGTCAACCAGGACTGGGGGAGAGGGAGCATATATAGAACAATCTGCATGACATTTGGGCCAAAACGTCTCTCCTTGAAGAAGCAGGGACTTGGGCCAGACCTCAGTTCTATTGTTCCTAATACGACTGGTTGTCCTTGGCCTGCAGGTGCCTGGCTTTTCATGATGTTTAAGATGCTTTATTCCTGATATAGCTGTCCCCCATTCAGCTGTCATCTCTTGATGGTCCAGAATCTTCTCTCTTATCATCCAGCAATATATCTCCAAGTTAATCTCCTCGCCAAGCCTAACCCTGCAGGTTAGAGAACAAAGCAGAAGCAGGAGGAACAGAAATGGCTCCAATAATCTGCTTCCCAGACCAGTGACTGTTGAAAACCAAGGTAGAAAAAGTGATGTAGGGGGATTTCCCAGCCCTGGAGGAAAACCACAAGAAAAGCAAGAAGCTGGTGTCATTCCCCATCCTCCCAGCAATGACCCCTATCTCAGCTGTCACTTTGGACTGGGACTCAGATCTCTCAATTGGAAACTTATTAAGACCCATTTGTCACTAGAATGGCCACCTCTCTGAGAACCTCTCTTCCAGCCTCAACAGGCAGGAAATTAGATCAAAGTCTGGGCTTGGAGCCGTGGCGGCTGCATCCCTTCCGTCATTCACAGAAGCCCAGCCTGGCCAGTGGGCGTTGTTCCCACCCAGGGGAGCTCCTCACCAGGAGGGCTCAGGCATCTTGGGAAGTTCACAGAGGTCCAGAGCAGAACCCCACAGTGTGCCTGGGTTCCAGGAACTGAGCAATGAAAATGGAACTTGGTGAGAAAGAATAGGGGTGGGATGGGGGAGAAAGCACAGACCCTTCCATCTCACAGAGAACAAAGTTTGCAGCTTCAATGAGATTCCATTCTTCTAAGGTCTATGGAGTACATGCTCTGCTCAGTTCCTATTTTTGAGAAACACACACCTTATTGGGGAAATGCAGCACAGCCATGAAAGAGAGTCAACAGGACAGGAATCAGCCCTCTGACTTTATGCCCATGGAGAGGCGAGGGCAACTGTTCAGGGAAAGAGAGAGCCTGGAGGCCAGAGCTGTAGGGGAGCCTTCACGAGGAGGGGAGCTTGCACGGGCTCTGGAAGGGAGGGCAATTGGCCAGGGAGGAGGACGGGGGCACGTTCTGGGCCTGAGAAGGTAAAGAAATAATGTCATGGCACTCCATGGAAATTCTTTCCATTGCAGGAGAGCAAGTTCAAACTTTGAATTTGGTTTGCTATCTGATCTCCCTCAGGAAAGACAGAGAATCTCTTCTTGCTCTTTATCCATTCCTTCAAGCAGTATAAGGAATCTGGTGGTAATCTGAATACTGTTATTACCACCACTAATAATAATAATAATGGCAGTGACTGTCACGTACTGAGTGTTTCCTATGCTCTGGGCCCTGTGTGTTAAGTGCTTTGCAAACATTGGTCTTACTTAATCTTTACAACCACTTTACCACATAACTATTATTATTATCCTCATTTTATAGATGAGAAGACTAAGACTCACAGATGTTATTTGCTCATAGGAATAGTAATTTGTAGAGCCCAGGCCGGAACCCATTGACTCCAGAGCTCTCCCATTTAACCACTGTGCATATTCTCCCACGACCCTTCAGTATTTCTTTGCCAATTCGACAACGGATGCTACATTTCTGGGAGACGGATTTCCTCGTCCAAATCCCCTCTGCTCCTGTTGAACTAGGGGAGCCTAGTTCAAGTCTCACCACTTCTCTGAGACCCTCCCAAGCCCTCCAGGCCTCACAGAGCGCCCCTTTCCAGAATTGCCATAGCACTTACAATGTGTGCACTGATTTGGCACTTCATCGTCCAAGATCTCAGGGCATTATCTCATTCAGGGGGGAACATCTTGTCTCTGCAACAAGACTGCAAGTAACCTCAGGTAAGGACGTGTCTTACTTCTCAAGGCAAGAGACATCCTTGGTGAACTGGACTGAAGAACTCCTCCTGCAAGTCCTTCCCGTTGGCACAAAGGCAGGCCCGCAGGGCGCCCTCCAGAGGGCCCCGCTCCAGACTTCAAGGCCGCAGTGCTGGCTGATCAGTTATCTTGGCTGTCTGCCCCTCCCCATTCACCCTCCCTCCCTGCCCTGTGTCAATGTCCTCATTCTCTTGCCCTTTCTTCTGGTAAATATAAATCTGGCAGCTTCCTCCCACCCCCCTGATGGGTCTGTCTGGCTCTTTGCTTTCGGAGAGGCCACTGTAGCCTATTCCCAGAGAACTGCTGGCCCTCCCCCAGGACCCTCACCTAAATGAGAAGTGGCCTCCCCGGTGTGCTCCCTACCATGTCATTGTGCAGCATCTATTGTCCCACCCCCCTCAGTGCTTTCCCCATAAACGGCCATCTCTGAGGAAGAATCAATCTACCCTGTAATCATTCTCTTGGGGGGCCCGGGGACTGATTGATGGGTCTAGGTGTTTTATTATTAGCCAGTGTAAGTTAAGTCAGTCCAATCAATAAACTTTATAGGTCTCCCAGATTGCTCCAGAGGCGAGACCCAGTAGCTTTCACCTCAATAGATTTAGACCCCTGCCTAAATAAAAAGCAATACTCACCTGGAGAAGCAGTTTGATTTCCTTTTGAGAGAATCTCTTAGTGCCCTTGAGCCTGTCATGACTTAAATCAACAGCCTTAACAGCTTCCAAGAAGAAATCAGTTGCCTTTGGAGCTCTCTCAGCCACTGCCTGCTCTCCCCTGCACATGACAATTTTAGTCTCCTGGACTGAACCATCAAAGTGATGATGACTAATGCCTCTGCCTGTCCCGTCCCTGGACGCCAGGCCCTCCTCCCGGCCCTGGCAGTCCTTCCACTGTCCTCTTTCTCCTGTCCTGCCGTCCCAGATCCCTCCTTATTCAAGACTTTCCGTAAACCCACCCTGCTCTGCATCCCTGGCCTCTAGGACCCTGAGTGACCCTGGCTACTGAGGGGCTGCTCTTCCCTGTCATTTTGAAGGTAAAGGGGTAGCCCCTCCAGGTGGCACTTCTGTGCATTCATAAGAATATCTAGGAAGCAGAGTAAAAATGCTGGGCGCAGTAACAGTAATACCTCAATGGACAGATGGCAACGGTGAGAATTTCAGGCCTTGTAAGTTATTCCTCAGAGAAAGCCACCATCTCTGGCCATCTAGGGCTGGCTGCAATAGGGCCCAGCCTGGCCCTGTGTGCCACGGCTGGGTTAGGGGTCATCCTCACTGCCTTAACTCTGCCCCTTCAACAGGCTGTCAAGTCTCTATCTCCCCATCCTGCGAGGGCAACCATGATGGAGCCAGCAGGAGAGCAAAGTCACCTCCATCCCTCTGCCCAGCATCAGGGCGTCGTGCCAGGGAAAGCCTCCATGTCACCGATCTGGAATGGTGGCTAGAAAGGCCTTCACAATATTTTCATTCTCAAGTGGGAACAAGACCCACCACTCCTTGGCCATGGGATCAAACTTTTAAAGACCAGGATTTCCATGGTTGCTCCAAAGCGCACTCTGAGCTGCCAAGAGGCACTCTCCAATCAGGCCAGTAAATGGTCAGGATGAGGTGGTCTCAAAACTGTTCCTATGCTGAAAAAAGTTTTAAATAAAATATTGGCGGAAGGGACTCTCTCCTTACGTGGTCCCTGGAGTAGAGAGACCCAGGTGTTCCTGCAGCCCAGAGGCCGTCTCACCCGGGAGGCTAAGGCAGACCTCAGAGTGGTGGCATGCCACGGTGCCATGGGCAGATCCTTTCTACATGACAACTTTCAGCAATAACCATGAAATGAAACAAGTAATAATAATGGCTGGAAAAGAAATGCAGACAGTAAAAGTTTTCTTTTACTGAGTTTCATATATATAATCATGCCAGTAAAAACAAATAAATCAATGTTAAAATATAAAAAAGAGAAAAAGTAAAGGATTGGTACATTTTAACTATATCAATCCTTTTAAAAACCAGAACGAACATACCTATGTAATGGTCTGTCTCAGTAATCAACAATATTACAGTTTCTATTTTCCAGGTATATTAACCTCTACAAATTTGTTAATGATTTTGTCAAAACTGGTCTTCACATGTTCAGGTTCAATAGATAGTTTGTTGATCTATCTTCACTCATAATCAATTTTCATTTAGGAAAATTTCTTTTACATGAATCAACGGATATACAAATAGATAGGAAGTCTTAAACATAAGGATAGGTTTGTCAGAGAGTCATAAAAATCCCATGTCGCGATTAATTTTAGAAGTTACGATACTGTACCTATGTTTGCATCTTTGGGATCAATTTTAGTTGCTTTCACATGCCTCCACAGTCAAAAAAATTTCTGCTAAAATATGTTCACCAGAAAATTCACCATAAATTTCTATTACCGTTGGTAAACTTCTGAAGTTTTTCTTCCATAAAAATCAGAGAAAATGCAAAAAAAAATCAAAGAAAATGGCTGAGTGACAGTGAATATTGGAATTATTTGATATGTT